CAGCATACTTACAGAATCAATACTTTGCATAAACATTATGGATGCTTTTTCTGTTTGCAGTTTATCAGGAAAGAACTGACAATCTTTTTCATATAGTTTTGTTGTAGAATCAACTCTGCACGTTCTAGTAAGACAGCTGCCTCCTTGACACTTATAAACTCTGTTTATACCAGAGATGCCTGTGGAACACCTGAAAATATATGACAGTTAACATTTGAGGCAACTTAATCATTAACGCTAATAGAAATCCTAAGTGGTTCTATTCATTATGACCTTTATATCAAGATGTTTTTTCTTCTGTGTGCACTTTCTATCCTGGCAGTAGAGTTTAAGGGTTCCAATCAAAGTAATTATCTATTTTTAAAGAAATTCTAGAGGGAAAATTTATGTGAGGCCTCCAGATAAACACAATGGTCGAGTTCTCCGCTGCTATTAAAGCTGCTGATCTCTTGCTTAGACATCTCTCCTGCTGGTCTTTTGTTGGCAAATACACTGCAGGGTCCTGGATAAGAGACCTTGTGAGATCATTTACTCTGAGTACCACTTTAGTTTGAAGTTCTTTGTAGATTTCTTCCCAAAGAAGATAGTCCCAAAAGAATGGTACATGGCATAGACACAAGTGTTTTGATTATTCAAAGAGTATTTTTATCCAAAGTAAAATGTGATTGGAAGCGAAGATTAGGTGCTGCCAAGAAAGATGGTAGAATAAAATATGATGGAGACAGTTTAGACATATGTTTTGTGTATGAAATTGGCCAAAGGTAGCCACAATTGCAGCAAATATGCTGGGATGTGAACATATTTTGTCTTTTTTATAGATTTTCAGTTCAAATCCAGGAAATGGTGAATATTTTTTCTTCAGCTATTTAGGGAGTTTCATAAATATGTCCATGCTTCTATTGCCCCCAAACTAGGTGGACATCATGAAGCTATCTATGTGGAAAATCATGATCAATATTCTGCAGCAGCAGTTAGACATCTAAGGGGAATATGATATAAACAAGTGCAATAAATGCAATGTTCTCTAAAATATGTGCCTGAAAATTGGTGCAATGGGGCAGAGGAGGGACCTTGATTTAAATCATATACCTTTCAATTCACACATTAACGTCAAGTCTTCAGCCCCAGCAGGACATCTAACATTGATGAGACAGTAGTACTAATTTTAATTTTGAACCAATTCTTCCCAACCATTTTGCTCTTTTGACCACATAATCAAAAGGAGAGTCTAATATTAACTATGATGCTAGATGGTATTATTAAATAACATTTATAATCTCCAAGAAGTTCCTGCTTGGCTCCTTGAAGCTGCTTGATTTCTAACTCAGTCCACATTTAGCACTACTTAACCATGTTTGTGCATTATTGTGTAATGTAAATAACTCTGATCTTATCCAAGCATATTGTGAATCCATTTACATTGTGCCCAACGTCAGTGCAAGTGAGTTCTGGAAGGTATGGTAGAGAGGTATAAAATAAGTTAAATTGCCAACCAAATGCTTGCCACTGAAATTATGTATGCTTTTTTCTTTTTGAGATGGAGTCTCGCTCTGTGTGAGGCAAGGCACATCGCTTTGGAAGCTCAATTATGTATGTTTTAAATAGCAATGTGTGAGGCAAGGCACATCGCTTTGGAAGCTCAATTATGTATGTTTTAAATAGCAATCAACTATTTTAAGATACACTTTCTAAAAAAAAGAAAGCATTATTTTGTATTATATATTGTCTGCCTTAAGACTCATTTTGGAAGAAATTAAAGTAAGGAAAATAAGAACAAATAAAAGCCTGAAGTCAGTTTAGAAAATTTAAATAGCCATGCCTTGTTGCTTCAATTTTTTTTGACTTAGCACTGTAGAAAGGCTGATCTTCATTGTACTCATCAAACACTCCCCACCGGAGGTGAGCCCACTCATGGACAAACAGTCTGCCTGTGGGAAAGCATTTCAAATACATGATCATAATTCAAGCAACACATTTTATATCAAAATATTTTAAGATGCTTCTCTTTCAGTTATAAACTATATTTAGATTTACATTTTCAACAACTACCAACATTTATATTTTGGTGTATAAAAAAGCCTATTATGTTAAATTACATTATATTATGCTATATTATGTAATATATTATCTTCTTATTCCACAACATGTTAAATCAATGAAACAATAAGGGAGTATATGCTATGAGCAGAGCATACTGGGATTTGTGTTTTGGCTCTTGAAGGTAAAAAGTCTTAGATAGTACAACAGTTTATGGCTCTCTGAATTATAACCAATGTAATTAGATACACAGTACATCTGTTGTACTAAAATACCATGGGGATGCGATTAGAAAAAAATGTCTAAAACTGCTCCCTATTATGATTTTAAAAAATGGGAAACACTGTTATGGGCCAAATGCAATTTCGGGGATGTTAAAATGAAGGACTTCATTTATGGTACTTAGCACATGTAAGCATTAATTATATGAAACTATTATTAATAATTTTCTATATATTCAATGCAATACTAGGTATTAAGAAATATAAAGATGTATGAGATTTAGTTCTTCACTTCAGGAAATTTTGAGAGAGGGAGTTCAAATAAAATGATATTAAAAAATATTTTATTGCACTTTAGGTTCTGGGGTATGTGTGCAGATCATGCAGGATTGTTGCATAGGTACATACATGGCAACGTGGTTTGCTGCCTTCATCCCCCCATCACCTACATCTGGCATTTCTCTGCATGTTATCCCTCCCCGAACTCCCTGTGCCCCCTGTCGCTCCCCAGTCCCCCCCAACAGACCCCAGTGTGTGATGATGAAATGTTTTTTAAAAATAAGAATTTCACAATAAATGGAAGAATAAAAGTAAATCCACACCTTGAGATGCTGAAATAAGGAAAGTAGAATTTTCGTTTTACCAATGTTGAGAAAAACTTCAGAGGAAACAGAGTTGGAGAAGGAGAGATTGGAAATAACATCTATTTTGCTACAGTATGTGTTTCTGTAGCTCAAATTACCTTATATGAATCTGAAAATAGGAGGAAAATACCATAGTATGAAGAAGTCATGTTTTTTTTTAAGTCCTTGCTATTCAAACTGTGGTCCTGGACCACATCCGTCAGCATCACCTGGAAGCTTGTTAGAAATGCAGAATCTTCAGGCCACTCTTAACTTACTGAATCAGAAGCTGAATATTAACAAGGCCCCTAAGTTATTCTTCTACATATTGCACTTAAAAAACACTGGTTTCAGGTTTTCTAGGCAAATGGAACCAGGTTTGTGGGAGCAGAATTAGAACTTTAGTAGGAAAGGAGAAAGCCCTCATATCAGCTACTGCAGTAGGAATTTGGTGAATGTTAAGAAAAATTTAAAACTCCCTATACCTGTCTCTCTTCTTAGAGAGTCCCCTCAGATTTGATTCCTTCTCAGGTTTCCCTGCCTCCCATGACCACCTTAAAAGCGGCCCTTTTGACTTAGAATTCCATTCCCATCTACATCATCGTCTCATTTCAAGAGATTCCCGTTTCCATTTCTAATAACATTTCTCTCTTCCCCCTCCCCACACCACGTGTCTGTGTGTACTTTTAATATGTGCTGTGGCAGCCTCCAGCCATACTGCATTGCTTGCCTGAGTGATCTAAATGATCTATTGTGATTGTTGGTGTTGGTAACATGATTATTACAAAACTGCATAGATTTTCTGAACTCTCTTAGTAATCTTATTTATCCAAAAATTGTTTTTTAGGACACTGTTTGTAGACTGTGAGGCTTTTCTTTCACAAACACATATATCACATTATGCGTTTGTGAAAAAGAAGAAAGATCTGTCTAAGAAGAAGGGGTGGCCTGTCAGTAATAGAATAGGGTTGAGGTGTGGGATATGGGAAAAATCAAGAACTGATATGGGGATATGGATCTTATAAATTAGAGAAGCCTTTCTCTTCTAAGAAAGGTACAGGTAGAGAAGGTATAGGTAGTAATGAGTTTGGAAATAGGAAGAATATAGAGACCTCTGTTTTATCAATCAGGGAATTAATGATGAGATTGAGAAGAGTGGCTGGAGATCTTGAGAAAAATGGTAGAAGGTTTAGGTCAGCTGCTATAGGAATTGAGAAAGGGAGTTGAGAAGAGCTGAGTAAAAATATTGTAGAGTAGCTTTGAGCACTTCATTGAGCTTGAAAAATGTGTCTTTATATCATATCAATTGGTTTTATAATTTTCTCCAACATTCTTGAAAACATAACAGGAGCCAAAAATAAACTAGATTCAGAAGATTTAGTAAACTGAATGAAACACAAGAATAAAAGTTGTAAGAAACTTGAACTATTTGTATTTGTAGTTGAAATGACTGACTTTGCAGGACATGCCAGGTAGAAAGAAAGTATAACTAAAAGGGCACAAAGGATTAGAGGTGCCAAGGAAAATAAACATGATCAGGATAATGTATGGGAAAGAGGTAAGACTGGGATATAAGGAAATGATGGAGCTTTCAAGAGTGGAGAGGGGAACTGGTCCAGGTAATGAATAGGACCAGATTTAGCTGAATGTTTGGCAGAGACAAGAGACTTAATAAGTGTTCAATGAACAGAAATGGAAGAGAGTGATTCTGGGGTATAGGGATTCAGGAAGGTTCCCACTGAACAATGACATATGTGTAGCGCCCTCTTTTAACAATAATTTGCATTTTTGTCTGTGAAAAACACTTTAGTTTGTTTTGATAAAATTATTTTAACATTTAGATTGAACTAGATGACATTGCCATTTTTATAGGTCAAAATGATCAATTGCAGACAATGCCATCTGTTTCAATGAAATAGGCTGATGATATCAGCAACTGATAGCCTAAGTGTGTTTTCTTGACCAGCAACTGGCAACATGACTCATTCCAGCTTACTATACATCTGGCTTTTATGTAGCTTACCTCTGATTTGTTAATATCAAGCTATGGAGAGCTGGAAATATTAAAATCTAAAAAGCATGCCTTAAAAAACATTTATAATTGCTTTTCTCTGTTTATATTTTTGTAGACACTGTACTGAGTACATTTATCTAGATTCTCTAGTTTAATGTAAAAGAAATATTTTATAAGGTAGAAACTTTTCTCTTTGGCATTTTGTAGGGAATAAGTACAGAGGCAGTAGGTCACTTGTTTAAGGTCACACATAGCTAGTAAGTAGGGGAGCCAGGATTTGATTCTAAGGACTTTGACCCAATGGCTTGCACACTTAAGCTGCACAGAAAGTTGTATGCTGCAATTATTACAAAATTGTTTTTTAACCAAAATTTCTACCTGATGGTCCATATTCATTTTGTGTTTTTCCAAGTAGAAAGTCAGGGGTGAAATGAATATGTTCGCCTTTCTCTCCACATTCTGTGAACTGCTTGGTGTATGGTTCATCTCTACCTGGGAGTGTAGGTGGTGCAACTATAACATCAGCCTGAGAATGTTGAAAAAGATTGTTAAACATCAGAAATAAAAAGATAATATTCGGTTAGAAAAACTCTTAAATAATTTGTGGCAAAACTGAGGAATATCAGAAAATATAATTTTTTAAGAGAAGATTTTAACACTTACATGTTTATAGTTTTCATACTTTGGCCTTTTGTACTGAGGATTTTCCTTCCAATTCTCAGGGACTAATATAGTTACATTTTTGAAAAAGAATCTTTTTTCTGTGGCTTCAAACAGATAAGTAGAAGCTGTAGTCAACATATCCTGTCATTAAAGGCAAACATATGTGAGAATGACAAAGTTAGAGTGAACTAAATTAGCAGGGTTTTTTGACAGATATTTCCCAATTTAAGAGTGGACAGAAAAGTAACAGACTGATGAGCGGGGTCTCTGCCTCATTATTCTAACTCTGCCACATGTCAACCGTAAACCATCACTTAATCCTGCATGTTGAAAATCTCCTCAGTCATCTATAATCCTGCCTTAAAAGTCATGTAAATGACTCCAATACTAATGTTAGTATCTTCTGGGTGACAGATCTTGGTTGATTTATGCAATGCTCCAAAGCTCAGTTTCTTCATCTCTTCAGTGAAGTATTACTATCAGTATGGTTTGCATAAAGATGGAATCAGTTATAAAGTACCCTACAAATAGACAGTCTTAAAACTGTTCATATCATTACTATTTATATGAAATCTTACTAGAAAACAGCCTTAGTTGATGGAAGTTGAGGAGGACACTCCATAGGAATGGATCATTGAAGAGGTTTCTCATTATTCCAACCCTAGGAGAAGGAACTGGATTGGGAGCCTGTGTGGGTGGGAGGTGTGATGAAAAAAATCCCATAGTAGAAGCAAAACTTTGATCAAAGAACTATTGCTCTGCCACCAATCTGAAAATAATATCACCTTATATTCAGAACTATGAACTGATTTACAAGGACAAATAAGAAAAATAGTCCCTCCCAGGAGAAAGCAAACTACTTGGAAAATATATTTCAGGATATCATCCATGAAAACTTCCCCAATCTTGTTAGAGATGCCATCAGTCAAATTCGGGAAATACAGAGAACTCCTGCAAGACTGTACACAAGAATATCATCCCAAAGACAAAAATCATCAGATTTTCCAAGGTTGAAGTGAAAGAAAAAATGTTAAAGGCAGCTAGCGAGGAAAGGGCAGGTCACCTACAAATGTACAAATGGAACTCCATCAGGCTAACAGTGTACCTCTCAGCTGAAACCCTACAAGCCAGAAGAGACCGGGGGCTAACATGGTTTGGCTGTGTCCCTACCAAAATCTCATCTTGAATTGTAGTTCCCATAATCCCCACGTGTTGTGGAAGGGAACAGGTGGAGGTAATTGAATCATGGGGGTGGTTTCCCCCATCCTGTTCTTGTGATGTAAGTTCTCACGAGATCTGATGGTTTCATAAGGGGCTTCTTCCTTTGCTTGGCTTTCATACTTCTCCTTCCTGCTGCCATGTCAAGAAGGACATATTTGCTTTCCCTTCTGCCATGATTGTAAGTTTCCTGAGGCCTTCAGCCATGCTGAACTGTGAGCCAATGAAATCTTTCTCCTTTATAAATTACCCAGTCTCAGGCATGTCTTTATTAGCAGCATAAGAATGGACTAATACAGGGGTCTTTATTCAGCATTCTTAAAATAATCTTCAACCATGAATTTCATATCCAGCCAAGCTAAGCTTCCTAAGTGAAGGAGAATTATGTTCATTTTCAGGTAAGCAAATGTCAAAGGAATTCATTACCACCAGACCTGCCTTATAATAGATCTTGGAAGGAGCACAAAGGAAACACTGCTACCAACTAATATTAAAACAGACTTAGACACACAGACCAGTGTCACTGTTAAGCAACCACTCAAACAAGTTAACATAATAACCAGCTAACAAAACAATGACAAGATCAAATCCACACATATTAATATTAACTTTCAATGTAGATGAGCTAAATGCCCACTTAAAAGGTAGAGTGGCAAGCTGAATAAAAAAGAAAGACTCAATGGTACACTGTCTTCAAGAGAACCATCTCACAATGGCATAATGACATTCATAGGCTCAAAACAAAAAGATGGAGAAACCTACCAAGCAAATGTAAAACAGAAAAAAGCAGGAGTTTTAATCCTAATTTCAGACAAAACTGACTTCAAACCAACAAAGATAAACACAGAAGGGCATTACATAATGGTAAAGGGTTCATTTCAACAAGAAAATCTAACTATTCTAAATATACATGGGTCCAACACAGGAACACCCAGATTCATAAAGCAAGTTCTTAGAGACATACAAAGAGACATAGACTCCCACTCATTAATAGTGGGAAACTTCCACATTCCATGGACAATATTAGATCATTGAGGCAGAAAATTAACAAAGATATTTAGGACCTGCTCACCATTGGACCAAATGGATCTGATAGATCTATACAGAACCCTCCATTCCAAAACAACAGAATATACATTCTTCTCATCACCACATGGCACATACTCTAAACTCAACCACATAATTGGACATAAGCAATCCTCAGCAAATGCAAATAACCAAAAGCATACCAAACACATTTGCAAACCACAGCACAATAAAAGTAGAAGAGTAAGAAAATCGCTAAAAACCATGCAATTACATGGAAATTAAATAACATGCTCCCGAATGACTTTTTTTTTTTGATAAATAATGAAATTAAGGCAGAAATCAAGATTTTCTTTGAAACTAATAAGAACAAACATATGACATACTAAAATCTCTGGAACACAGCTAAGGCAGTTTTAAGAGGGAATTTATACCATGAAGTACATCAAAAAGTTAGAAAGATCTGAAATTAACAACCTAACATCACAACTGAAAGAATTTGAGAAGCAAGAACAAATCAACTCTAAAGCTAGCAGAAGACAATAAATAATCAAAATCAGAGCTGAACTGAAGGAAACAGACACAAAAACCATTCAAAAGATCAACAAATCCAGGATCTAATTTTTTGAAAAAATTTATAAGGTATATATGCTAATAAATGAGAAAAAAGAGAAGATCCAAATAAACACAATTAGAAATAATGAAGGGAATGTTACTTCTGACCCCTCAGAAATAAAAATAACTATCTGAAGCTACTATGAACACCTCTATGCACACAAACTAGAAAACCTAGAAGAGATGGAGAAATTCCTGGACACATACATCTCCCAAGACTGAACCATGAAGAAACAGATTTCCTGAACAAACCAAATAACAAGCTCCTAAACTGAATTAGTAATAAACAGCCAACAAACCAAACCAGCCAACCAACCAACCAAACAAAAAAAGCCCAGGATCTTATGGATTCACAACCAAATTCTACATGATGTACAAAGAAGAGCTGGTACCATTCCTACTAAAACTGTTCAAAAAATTTGAGGAGGGATCCTCCTCAACTCATTCTATGAGGCCAGTGTCATCCTGATATGAAAACCTGATAGAGACCCAACAAAAAATGAAACCTTCAGGCCCATATCCTTTATGAATATTGATGCAAAAATTCTCAACAAAATACTGGCAAACTGAATCCAGCAGCACATCAAAAAGCTAATCCACCATGATTACTTAAGCATCATTGCCAGGATGCAAGATTGGTTCAACACCCACAAATCAATAAATGTGATTCATCACATAAACAGAAGTAAAGACAAAACCCACATGATTATCTCAGGAGATGGAGAAAAGGTTTTCAATAAAATTCAACACCACAATAAAGTAGGTATTGAAGGAACATACCTCAAAATAATGAGAGCCATCTATGACAAACTGACAGCCAATATTATACCGAATGGGCAAAAGCAGGAAGCACTCTCTTTGAAAACTGGCACAAGACAAAGATGCTGTCTCTTACCACTCTTATTCAACTTAATACTGGAAGTCCTGGCCAGAGCAATTAGGCAAAAGAAATAAATAAAGGGCATCCAAATAGGAAGAGAGAGAGTTAAACTATTCCTGTTTGCATATGACATAATTCTGTACATAGAAAACCCCACAGTCACAGCCCAAAAGCTCCCTCAGCTGATAAATAGCTTCAGCAAAGTTTCAGGGTACAAAATCAGTGTACAAAAATCACTAACCTTCCTATACACCAACAATAGCCAAGCCGAGAGCCAAATCAAAAAAGCAATCCCATTTGTGATTGCCACACAAAGAATAAAATATTTAGGAATACAGCTAACCAGGGAGGTGAAACATTCCTACAATGAGAATTACAAAACACTGCTCAAAGAAATTGTGTCAGACAAGACACAAACTAATGGAAAAACATCCCGTGCTCATGGATAGGAAGAATCAATGTCACTAAAAGGGTCATACTGCCCAAAGCAATTTATAGATTCCATGTTATTCCTATCAAACTACTGACAACATTTTTTGCAGCACTAGAAAAAACTATTTTAAAATTCTTATGGAACCAAGAAGAGCCAAACAGCCAAGGCAATCCTAAGCAAAAAGAACAAAGCTGGAGGCATCGTGTTACCTAACTTCAAACTATACTACAGTGATGCAGTAACCCAAAGGGCATGGTACTGGCACGAAAACAGGCAAAGACCATCAAAACAGAATAGAGAGCCCAGAAATAAGGCTGCACATACACCACCATCTGATTTTTGACAAAGCTGACAAAAAACAAGCAATGGGGAAAAGATTCCCCACTAAATAAATGGTGCTGGGATAACTGACTAGTCATACACAGAAGATTGAAACTGGATCCCTTCCTTACACCATATACAAAAATCAACTCGATAGATTAAAGACTTAAATGTAAAACTGAACACTATAAAAACTCTGGAAGACAGCCTAGGCAAAACCATCCTAGACATAGGAACAGGCAAAGATTTTGTGACAAACATGCCTAAAACAATTGCAACAAAAGCATAAATTGGCAAGTGAAATATAATTAAACTTAAGAGCTTCTGCACAGCAGAAGAAACTATCAACAGGTAAACAGACAGCGTGCAGAATGGAATAAAATATTTGCAAACAATGCATCTGACAAAGGCCTAATACTCAGCACTTAGAAGGAATGTAAACAAATTTACAAGAGAAAAACAACTGCATTAAAAAGTGGGCAAAGAACATGAACAGATGCTATTCAAAAGATGACAGACATGTGGCCAACAAGCATATGAAAAAAAGCTCAATATCACTGATCATTAAAGAAATGCAAAAACAACAACAACAACAACAACAACAACCCCACAATGAGATGTCATCTCATACCAGTTAGAATGGCTATTATTAAAAAGTAAAATTAACAGATGCTGGTGAGGTTGCAGAGAAAAGGAAACACTTACACATTGTTGGAGGACGTGTAAATTAGTTCAATCACTGTGGAAAACAGTATGGTGATTCCTCAAAGAGCTAAAAGCAGAACTCCATTCAACCCAGCAATCCCCGTATTGGGTGTATACTCAGAGGAATATAAATCATTCTACCATAAAGACACATGCACATGAATGTTTGTTGCAGCACTATTCACAATAGCAAAGACACAGAGTCAAACTAAATGCCCATCAATAACAGATTGGATTAAAAAGTGTGGTACAGGGCTGGACGTGGTGGCTCACACCTATAATCCCAGCACCTTGGGAAGCTGAGGTGGGCAGATCATTTGAGATCAGGAGTTTGAGACCAATGTGTGCAACTTGGTAAAACTCCATTTCTACTAAAATACAAAAATTAGCGGGACATTGTGGTGCATACCTGTAATCCTAGCTACTCAGGAGGCTGAGGCAGGAGGATTACTTGAACCCAGGAGGCAAATGTCACTGCTGCACTCCAATCTGAGTGACAGAGGAAGACTCTGTCTCAAAAAAATAAATTGTGGTATCTATACACCGTGGAATACTACACAGCCATAATAAAGAATAAGATCATGTCTTTTGCGGGAACATCAGTGAAACTGACGGCTATTATCCTTAGCAAGCTAACACACGAATAGAAAACCAAATACTACATGCTCTCACTTATAAATGGGAAATAAATGATGAGAACTCATGAACACAAAGAAGAGAGCAACAGATACTGGGGTCTACTTGAGCATTGGGGGTTGAGGTTGGGAAGAAGGAGAGGAACAGAAAGATAACATTGGGTACTAAGCTTAATACCTGGGTGTTGAAATAATCTGTACAACAAACCCCCATGAGTTTACCTATGCAACAAACTTTCACATGTACCCCCAAACCTAAAATAAAAGCTGAGAAGAAAAGAAAAAAGAAGACACTATGTATGGGTCATACATAGACACACAAACTTTTTATGGGAAGTAAAACTATGGTTAGTTTCCTAAGCAGAGTTGATTGTTTTAAAAGGGTAAGGAAAGGGGACAAGTCATAAACATTTTTAAAGTTTTGAGTTTTTTTAAAAGCAAGTATTGAAATAAAAACATAGTGAAAGAATCAAACAGTGATAAGCTAAAGTATGAATATTTGGTACACAAACTCATTTTCAATAAAAACTAAATTTTCTTAAAACAGTAAAAAAAAAAGTCCTTCCCTAGACCTTACTATCTTGTGAGGAAATATAAGGATAAAAGGCATTTTTTTTTTTTTTTTTGAGACAGTCTCTCTGTCACCCAGGCTGGAATGCAGTGATGTGATCTTGGCTCACTGCAACCTCTGTCTCCTGGGGTGAAGCAATTCTTATCTCTGACTGTATACTTAATATGATCTTGGAAAAATAATTTTTTGTTTTTGGACCCCCAGTATTTCACAGGATTTCTTGAAGATATTAAATGAGAAGACTTTGTGAAGGGTTGGGAGAATGTCAGGAAACATTGTGAAATCTGGAAACACCTATAAACAATTGAATTTCTGCTTGTGGTTATAGAAGACTATGTTAACAAAATTTTTGCCCATACAAGTAATTCTTTCAAATAGTGATTTCTGAGTAAAGAAAAGTTTGATACTGATTTACTGTCCTCTAGACACTAAAAACCTATCATTCAGAATCAGCTGCATTAACTGCTCTTTAAACATCTTTAGTAAAATGAATCTTTATCTTCTTCTGAAATATAAGAGGTACCTATAAGCAAATATCTCTGTGATGTAACAGAATTTGTAGGGAGTAAGTGACAAATGGCAGCCACAAAATCGCTTGATTACAACTTAGGTCATCCCTATCACCTTCTGTAGGGTAATTAAAACATGTGGAAGGATCCAACTGTGAGCAGCAGAAGACAATAGTGAAGAAATTAAACGTAAGAAATTAGTAGATGTTGATATCAGGGACAGGGAAAACTAATTTACAAGGCTGCACCACCAAACTCTGTATTAATAGAATGTTGAAAGAAACAGAAATCAGTGTCCTTGGTTTAGTCCTAGAGCCTTTCTCTTCTCCATCTGCACTTACTTAGTTATCTACACCCAGATTTTCATCCTTCATCATGAATTCAGATTCCTGCCTCCATCTACTTTGATGTTTCAGGAGTAACATAAAGTCAAAAAGCCCCAACCAACTCACTCTTGATTTTCCAAATGCCAAACTTTCTCTACTTAGTCTTCCCCTTCCCATTGATGATAATTTCATCCTTCCAAGAGTTCAAGCAAAACTCCTGAATCCTTCCTTGACTCTTAAATTTCCTTCCTACCCTCACCTATCCCCTACACATCTTAACCATCACATCACTTAGACAATCTTTACCACAACCTACCTGTTCCTAGTCACCATCACTGCAAGAGTTTCCTACCTTGGGTCCTTCTACAGCAGTAAGCTGCCACGAAGTTTATAGAGGATGGGTGACAAGTGGAAATTCTTTACAGTTTTCAGTACTGCAGTCAGTAATCCCAGAACATGCATGAAAACACACCCTTCTCTGCTCAGAATCCTCCTATGGATTTTCATTACAGAGTAAAAGTCTTAAGTTTTTCCAGGGGTCTAGGCCCTGGCACCTCTCTAACATCGGCTCACCCTACACTTCCGCTTCCTCCTGCTCATCGAGAGCTGTTCCTTCAGTCACATCAAACGAATTCTCACCTCCATGCTGTTTTTCTCACCTAGGTTTCAATGGGCTCTTCTTTCACTCATCTCAGGTCTGTGCTCAGATGACACATCATCAGTGAGGCCTTCCTTGACTGCCCTATGTGAAATAGCAACTCACATTCTCCCCCAACCCAGCCCTACCTTACACTCCATATCCTACTTCCTGATTTGTTTTACTCCACAGCAACCTACTATTAACTGATCTGTGATCCATTTACTTATTAACTACATCTCTGCAAAGAATATACACTGCATGGTGTCAGGGGCTTTTAAAAAATTTAACTACTCTTTAGCATGTCATAAACATTCAATAAAGAATTCTTTAAAGAGCAAATGAGTCAAACTGCTAATTTACAGATCAAGAAACTCAGCGTCAGGGGGCCCTGTGCCTTGTCTTCTGTCTTGTTGCAGGACAATGTAGAACGCCTGTAGAAGGCCATCTAAAACCTCCATCTCCCTCTGCCCATTACCACACTGTCCTCACTGCGCCATGCTGCTTTTAGCTTCCTGAAGCACTAAGCAGTTTCCATAATAATTATTAACTATTAACTTTGTTTTCTTCTCCATAATTCAAACAGAAGACATTCCAATTTTTTCCCCCCGAGACGGAGTCTTGCTCTGTTGCCCAGGCTGGAGTGCAATGGCATGATCTTGGCTCACTGCAACCTCCGCCTCACAGGTTCTAGCAACTCTCCTGCCTCAGCCTCCCGAATAGCTGGGATTACAGGTGTGTGCCACAATGCCCAGCTAATTTTTTGTATTTTTAGTAGAGACTGGGGTTTCACCATGTTGGTTAGGCTGGTCTCAAATTCCTGACCTCGTGATCTGCCTGCCTCGGCCTCCCAAAGTGTTGGGATTATAGGCGTAAGCCACCATGCTTGGCTGACATCCTAATTCTTGGGGAAAATAGTTGCAAACTATTTATCCAATAATGGATTAGCATCTAGAATACACAAGGAACTCAAAAACCTCAAGGCAAAGTAATGATGATAGTAATAATAAGATTTAAAAGTGGGCAAATGATCTGAATAGGCATTTCTCAAGGGAAGACATACATATGTCCAACAAGTACATGAAAAAAATGCTCAACATCAGGAATCATCAGGGAAATGCAAATCAAAACCTGAATGGGATATCATCTCAGCCCAATTGGAATGGTTATTATAAAAAAGACAAAAAAAAAATGCTGGCAAGGATGTGAGAAAAGAGACCTATTATATATTATTAATATAGACGTTATGGAAAACAGTATGGAGGTTCTTCAAAAAACTAAAAATAGAATGACCACGTGATTCAGCAATTCCACTAGTGGGTATATATCCAAGGGAAAAGACATCAGTATATGGAAGAGATGTCTGCACTCCCATGTTTATTGTAGCACTATTCATGATGGCCAAGATATGCAATCAACCCAAGTGTCCATCAACAGATGAATGGTTAAAGTGTGGTATATAAACACAAATAAATACTATTTAGTCACTGAAAAAAAATGAAATTGCTTCATTTGTGGCAGCATGGATGAGCATGGAGGACATTATGTTAAGTGAAATAAGCCAGGCACAGAGAGATAAATATCAGATATTCTTACGTATATGTAGGAACTAAACCAGTGTATCTTACGGAGATAGAGAGTACAATGATACTTATCAGAGGCTACAAAGGATAGGGGAGAGAGGGGAAAGGAAGAGAAGTTGGTTAATGTGTATAAAAGTACAGTTATATGACAGAATAAGTTCTAGTATTTGATAGTACATTAGGAAAATTAAAGTTACTGATAATCTGTCATGTATTTCAAAATAGCTAGAAGAGAGTAATTATAATGTTCCCAACACAAAGCAAAGATAAATGTTTGCATTGATGAATATGCTAATTAATCTGATTTGATCTTTACAAATTGTATACATGTATAGAAATATTACTTTGTATGCCATAAATACGTGCAGTTCTATGTAAATTAAAAATAATAGTAAAAAGCTAAAAATTAATGAAAGATATTCCATTTTGTTCTTACCTGTATTCGTTCAATTATTTTCTCATCTTCTGGCACACTAGGATCTATAACAATGATAATATCTTCAAAACCATTGTTATTCAGCCTAATGAAGGAACTATTTGACCTGTGCAGCAGGTATGGAACTAAGAGGAAAACAAAACCTCTTAATAGCCCCATTGTTCCTCTCTAGCTATTCCTGCCTTGTTCAAGAGGCTTTTCTTTTCTCTCTCTCTCTCTTTCTGTAAATAAATATATATATATATATATATATATATGGAATATTTATATTCCTAAAAGTTAATCAGTATTGGTTGATTATGGGATGTTGACTGTATAAAGGTACATGTGGGGAAAGATATGACTAATTCACATAATTGTTTTATTGCATGTTATCATAAATGTGACTAAGAGTAAAAAAAAAATCAGATTTTTTTATAAAATGCATTGCACATTTCCTCTTGGAACACATTTTTATTTTGTTACTGTTTTTCATATTCTAAGGGATCCTTGACAGCAGGGATTTTTTTTTTTCAATAGGTTTTTGGATAACAGATGGGTTTGGTTACATGAATAAGTTGTTTAATTATGATTTCTGAGATTTTGGTGCACCCAACCACATGAGGAGTGTACATTGTACCCAATGTGTAGTATTTTATCCCTTCAATCCCCTCTTAGTCTTTCTCCTGAGTCCCCAAAGTCTATTGTGTCATTCATATGTTTTATATTCTCATAGCTCCCACTCATGATTGAGAACATAAGTTTTTTGGTTTTCCATTCCTGAGTTACTTCACTTAGAATAATGGTCTCCAATTCCATCCTGGCTGCTGCAAATGCCATTATTTCATTTCTTTTTATGGCTAAGTAGTTTTCCCTGGTGTGTGTGTGTATGCATGTAGGTATGTGTGTATGTGTGTGTATATATATGGTGGGCATTTGGGTTGGTTTCATATTTTTGCAATTGCAAATTGTGCTGCTATAAATATGTATGTATAAGTTTCTTTTTCATATAATAACTTATTTTCCTCTGGGTAGATACCCAGGAGTGGGATTGCTGGATCAAATCAAATCGTAGCTCCACTATTAGCTCTTTTTTTTTCAGATGGAGTCTCACTGTTGCCCAGACTGGAGTGCAGTGGTGCACTCTCGGCTCACTGCAACCTCTGCAGTGAGGTATGCCCAGCTAATTTTTGTGAGTTTTTCTTTTAGTTGAGACAAGGTTTCACCATGTTGGCCAGGCTGGTCTCAAACTCCTGACCTCATGATCTGCCCACTTCGGCCTCCCAAAGTTCTGGGATTCCAGGCATGAGCTGCTGTACCTGGCCCACTTTTAGTTCTTTAAGGAATCTCCACATTGTTTTCCACAGTGGTTGTACTAGTTTACATTGTCACCAGCAGTGCAAAAGTGTTCCCTTTTAACCACATCCATGCCAACGTCTATTATTTTTTTGATTACAGCCATTTTTGTAGGAGCAGGGAAGTATTGCTTTGTAGTTTTGATTTGCATTTACCTGATCATTAGTGATGTCGAGCATTTTGTCATATGTTTGTTGGCCATTTGTATATCTTCTTTTGAGAATTGTCTATTCATGTCCTTAGCCCACTTTTTGATGGGACTGTTTGTTTTTTTGTTTCTGATTTGAGTTTGTTATAGATTCTGGATATCAGTCCTTTGTCAGATGTATAGATTGCAAAGATTTTCTCCTACTCTGTGTGTTGTCTATTTACTCTGCTGATTATTTCTTTTGCTGTGCAGAAGCTTTTTAGTTTAATCAAGTCCCAACAATTTATCTTTGTATTTGTTGCATTTGCTTTTGGGTTTTCGGTCATGAAGTCTGCCTAAGCCAATGTCTAGAAGGGTTCTTTTGATGTTATCTTCTAGAATTTTTATGGTTTCAGGATTTAGATTTAAGTCTTTGATTCATCTTGAGTTGATTTTTGTATAAGGTGAGAGATGAGAACTCAGTTTCATTCTTCGACATGTGACTTGCCAATTATGCCAACAGGATTTGTTGAATAGGGTGTCCTTTCCCCACTTTATGTTTTTGTTTGCTTTGTTGAAGATCAGTTGACTATAAGTATTTTGGTTTATTTCTAGGTTCTATATTCTGTTCCATTGGTCTATATGCCTGCGTTTGTACCAGTACCATGCTGTGGTGGTAACTATGGCCTTGTAGTGTAGTTTGAAGTCAGATAATGTAATGCCTCCAGGTTTTTTCTTTTTGCCTAGTCTTGCTTTGGCTATGGAGGCTTCTTTTGGGTTTCATATGAATTTTAGGATTGTTTTTTCCTAGTTCTGTGAAGAAATATGTTAGTTTTTGTTAGGAATTGCATTAAATTTGTAGATTATATTTGGCCGTATGATCATTTTCATAATATTGATTCTACCCATCCATGAGCATGGGATGTGTTTTCATTTGTTTGTGTCATGTATGACTTATTCAGCAGTGTTTTTTGTAGTTTTCCTTGTAGAAGTCTGTCATCCCCTTGGTTAAGTACATTCCAAAGTATTTTAATGTTTTTGCACTGTTGTAAAATGGGTTGAGTTCTTGATTTGATTCTCAGCTTGGCCCCAGTTGGAATATAGGAAAGCTACTGATTTGTGTACATTAATTTTTTATCCCAAAACTCTGCTGAATTCATTGACCAGTTCTAGGAGCCTTTTAGATGTGTCTTTAGGATTTTCTAGATATATGATTATGCCATTAGCAAACAGTGACAGTCTGACTTCCTCTTTACCAATTTCGATGACCTTTATTTTTCTTGTCTTGTTGCTCTGTCTAGAACTTCCAGTATTATGTTGAATAGAAGTGGTGAAAGTGGACATCTTTGTCTAGTTCTAGTTCTCAGTGGGAATGCTTTCAACTTTTCCCTGTTTAGTATAATGTTGGCTGTGGGTTTGTCATAGATGGCTTTTGCTACCTTAAGTATGTTGGGGACACATTTTCTATACTAATTTTGATGAATGTCCTAAATATAGACATATACTTTATATTTTCTGTAGAGTAGAATGTGAATATTAATAAAAATCCAAATAAAATGAACAGATACAGTAATACTAATGTTGTCCTTCATTTTTACAAAGCAATTTATCATCACTACAATGGTAAAAATAATGGAAGGGACAATAAGATAGTTAAATGTAATTAATAGCAAAGTAGTTAAGATGGTTTTAGGTCCAAATTAAAGATTTTAAAGATTTTGATAAATTAAGAAATCAAATTATTAACCTGAAAATACTGTTCAGTAAAGAAATAATAAAATTTGTTTCCATACAAGCATATCGAAAACTTTATCTGGTAGTTTGCTGGTTACTATTGAGGCAGAGTAAATCACATTAATAGTTCACATTTATTCAGTTCTTACCAGAGCACAGATTGTCTCACTTAACCCTCAATGAAACTCTCTAAGGTAAGTATGCATATTACCTTCATTTTATGTATGGAGGAACTGAGGCACACAGATTTAAGTAATTTGCCAAGATCACATGGCTAGTAACTGGTAAAGTCAGGATCTGAAAGCAGCATTCTTATCCCAGAGCCCATGGATTTAATCACCCCATCACAAGGCAATTCTGTTTTACTAGGCTAATAGTGTAATAAGGTTTTATAAAAAGGAGAAAGAGGATTAGGTTAGGAGATGTTACTGAATTATGAATGTCTTGTCTTAAAGCAAAAGATGCCAGGACTCATCAGAAATCCATAAAAAGGACTGAAAACAATAGCAGAAAATGTCTTTAAGAGTTCAGGTAAAAGGATATGATGTTGAATCCTTGGCAACATCCCCAGGGTAGCAGCTTTATCATATGTGCTCAGACTGTCCTCTTAGATAGCATACTACACCTTCCTTCCACTCCCTCAGGAATATTACAGGATAATTGTACATTCACAGAATTATGAAAAGGAGCTGTTACACTGGCAGCTCTGGGAAACTGAGATTATCTGGAGTGAACAGATTGGGTATTAACAAATACATCATATGCACTCTTGGCCTCACTGACCTTCCTTTTTCTTGCTCCGTACTTCTCCCTGAACTCCAGCTTTGGTGGCTCCAAGAAAACCAGACATGCTCCCATCCCATAGAACTTGTGCTCAGGAAATTGTTTTTGACTGGTTGACTAACCGAATAAGTGAATGATTACTATTTTAACCAAAAATAACAGCTTATCACAATGCCTAGGCAAAAGCTTGTCCAAGGCCTTTGAAATACTGAAGAAGCCTGGTGGACTTAGATCCTCTCTATTGTTTGGGGGGAGCATTTAGTTTATATTGAGGAGGTGCTATCATTGCCTTAAAAAACTCAGGAAACTCTAGGTTACACAATTGGAAGGGAGAGAATTCTTCTTTGCCAAAGCCATTAGGAAAAGCTCCCTTCAGGCAATGAGCACATGCAGCCTGGTGAAAATAGGTGAATATTTACAATAGTCTCTCCCTACTTGTTCCTGGTGTCAGAGGAACAGCGAAATTGGAGACAAATGTATGTCCTTGTCTTATTTTTCATCTATCCCCCTGGCTGAGTTTCTAATACTCTTCCTTTAAGAGAAAAGTGGGATGCTGCTCTGGTAACCTCGGAGACACCCACTTCCATAACTAGTCTACATCTTACAGTTTCCTGGTCAGCTGGTCCAGCTTCAAGGGCCACTGCCTCCATCAAACCAACCTCAGGTAGACATTCCAGCAGAAGCTCGCTTGTCGTAAATCAGAGAAGACTGTGCTAAGTGAGTCTAAACTAGATTCAACTCAGGCAAACAGGCTCACTTGAGTCACTCAAAAGGTATGAGTTTCCTTGTCTGTTACTGGGTCAAAAAGAGCTATGAAAAAAATAGTTGTTAAGTATTTGTTTACTGTGTAATAGAAAGATGTATCCAACATATCAAACTTGTGTTTTTACAGATATTACTGTCAGAATAACACCATATTTGTTTTTTCTCTTTTTTATTGAGAAATAGTAATTGTATATATTTGTGAGCTTCATGTGATATTCTGATACATGCATATGATGATCAATTCAGGGTAATTAGAATATCCATCACCTCAAACATTTATTATTTCTTTGTGATGGAAATGTTTTAAATCTTTTTTTCTAGCTTTTTTTATTATTATACTTTAATTTCTGGGGTACGTGTGCAGATCTTGCAGGATTGTTACATAGGTATACACATGCCATGGTGGTTTGCTGCCTCCATCCCCCCGTCCCCTACAATAGGTATTTCTTCCAATGTTATCCCTCCCCAA